CAGAGGTGTGTGGATATGCCGATTGAGAATACATAAGTTGTCAGCTCAAGAACAATAGGTTACAGGCACTAGGTGAACCTCTCATATGAGCCTAGATTAACTTCAACACTTTTAATTTTTACTGAGGCCGCTTGCGCCTTCCACTACACTGCATTTGTACGTTTTTTCCCCTTTTTAAGGGGAATCACGTGTAAGTGGATGTACATTCGGTTACTATGACCGCTTAATTGTGTCAACCGAGCGAATGGCACAGCCTTCACCAAACAATGTTCATGCTCTACTCTCTGCGTCCATCCATGCACGTGGGACTTCTGCTCTGAAGTCGTTGTCCATTGATGGCTGTCAGATTTCAAATCTTCATATTACCGAGATTACGTGCATAAATCCTACTTTCCATCGGGTTTTCTTACTGCTTAAAATAACTAAAGAAGCCTTTTTCGAGGCTCATATTAATCTGGGCTCTTCATTCTTGAAAGTAAGTGTAAATCAGTGTTGTTGACGTTCACAACTCACTTGAAGGTTCCCTTCACTTGAAATTCCACTTGACGGTTTTCCTGGAGTTGCATACCTTCACATGACATTACTTATGCTATCAAACGAATAAGATGCTGTTTAGTTGTTCTCATGGGTCCTTAAAGTTGGCATTTTCTTCTGTATATTGCAGCTTGGTTTTGGTCGTGCGCCTCCTCGAACGACATGCTTGTAGCATCTTTGGGGGGAACCTTCGCTAAATGCATGCAGATAACCGCATCGTTGTGGTTTTATAAGCCTAATTTTCCTTTTTGTTCTAACTATACCACCTTTTTAACTACTGGATTTCTTTTTCAGGACCTTCTTTTTTAAAAAAACTATTTTGTTAAAGTAGGCTTATAGTAACGATCTCAGACAAAAAAATCAACCACTATGGTCTTTGTACTTTGTCTTTTTAGTTTTTGCATTAGTTTGCATAGCTTTGATCTTCTTTTGCAATTCAAATCACGTATGTGTGATTAGTAGATAGCGGTTAACAAACACGATCGTCACACATATGTGACGCAGTAGTAAAACTTAAGTGTGAACAAAATGTCATTTCGCAATGATCTTTTGCTTAATTTTCTAATTATTGTCACAGTAACAGTACCATGAATAAGACCGAGTTTTGAATTTCTTTACTACTTATTGGAGGAATTATTTTAATCTCCTCCGTGTTTTGATTGCTACTAAGTGGACATAAGTACTATAAATATCAATCATAATTGAGCGGTGACAGTGGGTTAAAGTACATTTCAAAATGAAAATGTAACTTCATTTTTGACTATTAAAGGCAAATCAAGCTTCCTTCATCACGAAGGGGAATATCTATGTACTACTTAATGCGCATAATGAGAAAAATTTGGTCATTTTAAGTCATTCCTTGATTTTATTAAAACAAAAAAAATGTTCTTAAAAAAGTGCGCAACTTAATGGGACTACAATTTTGTTGTCAAGGGGGATCTGGAATTTGCATCGGTCCCCACATGGGCTCATTAAATTGTCAAACTTTTAAGCTCCCACGCCCACTTCTGGGGTGGACCAATGGGCGTGCTGTTAGGTAGCCGCACCACTTCCGCAACTCCTCTGTTTACTTCAAAAAAGCACCATGTCGGTTAATGACCTCTCGGAGAGCTTCTGGCTCTGCGTGAACGTCACCGACGACAAAGACGCTTTAGACATTGTCATCTTTGTAACCGAATTTGTAGGCCTGGTTCCGGGTCTCTTGGTAGCCGTACTGCTCTGTAGACTGGATGGCAAAACCCGAACTAGTCTGCTGATGCTTCGAACCCTGGCCATATGCTCCGTCCTACAACTGATTATTAATTTAATTGGCGACATCTACCCCTATTCAATACGCACCGGCAGCTACGGATTCAACCTCTTCTTATGCGCACTGTGGACCAGTCGTTTCGCCTTCTGGATCTTCGCCATAATTGGGGCGCATGCACAGGTCTACTTGTGCACAAATCGTGCAATGCAGATCGTCTCCAATCTCCAACTCTCCTTTGCGTCTAGCCGGAACATTGACCTTGTCTACATAGCGGGCCTGGTCCTCTATAGCACGTTAATAACCGTACCTCAAGCATTCACGATAGTCTATGATGGAGATGAGTGCTACTGCAGTGAGCAACTGACGTATCTCTCCTACCTTCAACTTGCCTACGCACAAGTCTACATCTTCTTCATTCAAGTTCTGCTGGTAAACAGCATAGTCCTATTCACCACCTGTTTCTGCGTCGTTAAGTATGTTAAAAATACACCTCATGAAAAGTTCATGGACACCTTGAATGCCCTAAGTTTTTGCAACACCCCAGAGGAAGAACTGAAAGCCTACACTGAAGTAAAAGGCTGGTCTACCTCAACCATGTGCATAGTGCCCATGTTTGTGTCCTATTTCATCTCCTTCTCCTACGACACGACCTACCAGTTTGTCAGTGCCATTGGCTTGACTCACTACCCGATAAACGGCTTAACCCAGAAGGTTGGCGTTTGGATTCAACTCATTCATCCCGCCCTCATTCCCTACTATCTCTTCTACTACATTCCTGCTTTGAGATTTTGGGTACGAAGGCGATGGCACTGGGTAATGAGGTTCTGCAGACGACGAAAAAAACATCATCTGGTGTGAGCCTGGGGACTTGGATTGTCGGCCGATATTTTAAAACACCGCCATCCCATGAGTTGTTTTACCTTCGATACGACCCTTAAATAAAATCATTGGCTGTTGTACTAACCAAACTTTTGCGTACGAGGCGAGTAGAATGGGGATTGGCTTGACCTCTTGACCAGATGACCAAACATGGCCACAGGGCACATTCGCTCTCAAAGCTTCTGCCTCAAATAAGTTTTCATAAGTTGAGAAGAGATTAATTGTGGATGTTAGTGGTTGTACAACCAACTTGGTGTAAGAGATATGAATGGCTAAGTGTAGTAACTACTTCTTAAGAGGATGAATTACTCCCCCACCCTCAACGAGGAGCTCGCAGCGACGAACCCAAAGGAGGTAAGTCGGCCAGGAATGCTGTTACTGGAAACTAGAGGAGGGTGCAAAGTGACACCCCAAACTTGGCAGAACTAAGCTGCATAAGGGAGTGCTTGTAAACAGGTGAAAGAAAAACACGTCCAAGGCAGTCAATTTAGTCACGTGGATGTTCAAATCAAAGGGGGTTTTGGGTTCACTAAACTGGGAGAGTGAGGGATGCTGTTGTAGGCGTTCTATGGGCTATAAGTTGTGTCGATACACATGTCATGTTTGGGGCCGTTGAGTGGAGAGAACAATTTTGCCAGCACGACGGCATGAAACTCAAGTCCGTAGACTTCAAATGCTGAACAATGAGGTGATGGAACACTCATCCATTCGAGAGGTAAATGGGTTTGCCGCAACGAGATATGCGGGTGTAGTCCACAAGGTATTACTACTGCTGCAATGGCGATTCTCAAGATGGAACATTCCACGCTTAGAACATCCAAGTGTCTCTGTTCTCGACGCAAGACTATTTCAACGGGCATATACAATTTTAAAATTCCCGTAGACGGTTCTAGGCTGGTTCTGCCCTACTTCTGAATTGTTCCATGTTGAAGTTTACCAGAAAATAGTTAAACAATAGCATAAGTACTCCTAACGCAAACATTTTCAAGATCAGCTCTTCCTTGGGAAGAATTGGACGTCCACAGTGAAAATCGATCGAGAAAGAATAAACACACTCAAAGTAAATTATTTTATTCCAGAGGCCAATACTCTTTAACATGACGGAGAAGAGGTCATGGAATCCCTTTTTTCTCTCCTCCGTCGGGAAGAAAAGCTGGCCAGCACAATTCTGATGCCTTATTGTTCTTATGTGGTGCCAAGACTTACACCACCTAGGCGACTGCTTAGAGAGGTGATGTCCAACTCTCAAACTAAGTAATCAAATCATAAACCAAGAATATTTTAAATTTACTAAATTCGTCAGCGACAGGAACTAGTGAAACCAACTATCAGAAGGTGATTAGACGTAAGAAGCACGTCTTTGCATCCTTAGGGCATATGTAAACGAATTGAGGGCCACTTACGCGCTCCGCCGGGTGGGCTGGCCCTTGAACCATGTTAGTAGCCCCAAGCTCCGCTGTATGTCATGAGTTCAAACCAGTATTATGACTCCATTCGTCTTAAGGGGAGTCTCGGGAGCCATATTAGTGTCGGCGGAAGGCGAATCCTATCTTAGAGGACATCTTTTCTGATTTCAGCTGCTGGGAGGTAAATCCCAACATGAGGGCAGAAGAGCGAATGCTGCAAATGGGAGAATCAGTGACGTCCCCTGACAGAAGGGCTGAAAGTGACGTCCACCCTCGGCAACTGCCCCTGTTTGTGGTCTGCAGGACTGCTGTTAACAAATGAAACGGCTAGCCGTAAATTACCTCAAAACCTCCATTCGGAGCTGTCTGCGACACCTGTATAAAGGTGTCAATCAAGTACACTCGCACTACCTCCTCCACCTCTCTACTGTCCAGATGGAACGCGGAGAGGCATATGGCTGGGCAGCTCTAAAGTGAAAACAGAGTAGTAAGGAAGAATAGACGTGGAACTCTACCGCCACAGAAGTTTGCTGAACCACGTCCTTCGTTATTTGACTCTACATTTAGACCAGCGTGCCCCCAACCAACGTCGGACATATTTGATGGCCAGCACTCTCTCCCGTCACCAAATCCCGTTTGCAAGCAGGACGTGGCTCCGGATCCAGTTGAATAGTCAAGGAGGATCAGTGGTTTTGCGGTCGAGTATCCCCTCAGTTGCATGGAAATGCAATGCCTGACGCGGTTGGCTCGTGGATATTTCTGCCAGAAGCACCGACTACGTTGTGATGGCTGACGCTGCAGGTCGGCCGAATAGAGCACCGGAGACGACGCTTAAACGCGGAGTGGACTATTTGGTACGTTGGTTGTTTGTTTACCTCTGGGTATTTCGGCAAAGAGGTCACATGGGCTGCTCCACCATCGTAGCCTCGTAGGGTGGGCTGGCCTCCGGACCATCCCAGTAGCTCCGAACCCAGCTGTCCGAGTAGTATATCTTCTTTTGCCTTCAGAAAGACTCGAGGCCCTACAGTGCTCTTCAGAAGCGAATTTTCTTAAAAACAATGGAAAACCTGCTTTACCAATGGAGAATAAAGTGGATGAAAATTTAAGGTAGCCTTTATGATCCCAGACCAGTGAACCTTCTATTTTCAGTCGAAGCCACTCATTATGCCGATCTCTTCAACTTTTTCAATTAGGCTTAAGTCCCATTTTTTCTCCCGATGACTCATACTATAATAAAATCACCTCAAACACAAAAATTTTCATTCATTTTTTGCAACCTTCCTTCTTTTACGCAATTTTTAATATTTCATTTTCTTGCGACTTAATTGCACAATTGCGAGCGAATGTTTTTTGTAGAAAATTATTTATCTTATAAGAAAAGACCTTAAAGGGCGCTGGCGTCGGAACCCTCTACAATTCCAAAGGTTTGGGCGTGTGCGGTGCAATTTTGTCCATACTTGTGCAAGTAATTACAGATTGCATGGCTTGAATCTGTTGAGAGAGAGAGAGAGAGAGGGAGAATTACGAAAGACTTCCAGTAACGTGTAATTGTTGGGGGCTGGACCTAACTCTCAATGCGCCTACGGCTAAGACAGCCTTATACAGTTCATAAGTCGGCTGGAAACACCATGCCATTGAGAGCTTTTTGCATAGGTTACGGAAAAAAGAAAAATAATGAGCCAATAAAGGGGGCATGGAAAAGTCGACGCAGTTATTTGTCCTGCGTTTTGAGTCGGGGTACGTAAAGGCCAGTTGGAAGGCTACTAGCATGGATGGAAGGCCATGCAGGGGGAAAAAAATGCGAATTCCCCTTTAAATCTTGGGTTTGCTGTGTTTAACCAGAGCAAAGAAAGTCTAAGAACATTTCGTAATCAAATCTACCAATATTTTTTATGTATTGTTAAATTTGTTTAGGTATTACACGGGCGGCTATAGCATACTTAGCCACGCGGATCCACCAGTCCCCTCGTCCCAATCGCCATCCTTCAATCATGGCATCTTCACTCATGTCCACTGCTGCTCAACCCTTTAGTACTCTAGTTTTGAGGACTTTTCCACGCTGGTAGGAACAATTAGGTCTGGAGAGATGCCAAGCAGCGGTGCACAATGCTACCTTAAAGCGCTCCCACCGCAGCGTCAAAATGACCAAATTGGACAACCATCTGTTAACTTTTGAATTACATATCAGTGATATTCAAGTATAAAGCTCAAACATTTTCTTAAGTTTTTATAATTGTCTTGGAAATGAACCATAACAGCTTTATGGGTCGGAGTGACAAAGCAGGAAAAATGAGACCACCACGCAAAGTTATTAATTAATAAAAAGTTCACTTAAGCAGGAGATTTAAGGATAACAAAAGTAAGTGAAATAATGAGAAGGCGACGTTGATCTGGACCACACTAGGAGACCATTGCAGCGCCATTCAATTTATGGCAATAATCGCCACAAAAGCACTAAGACACCTCCGAAACCCCACTCCCCCGACCATATTCTTTAAAATCGAGCAAACAAAGCCCAGCTCTCCCCATTATTGCTGCACTTCTATTTTTTCAGATGACTGCAGCCTGTTTTAAACAAAACAGTTTAGTGTTAGTAGGAAAATGTAACAATCAATGCTTGGAGCATAAGTGAGTCTATCCTTCACACACCAAATTGCGGTAGTGGGGGCCCTTCCAGGGGCGTGTTCGGCAGAGGTGTCAAGTCCTGCGGCAGCTAAAAAGAGGTTTTTAGTCCCGCTTTTTGTCAAAGTTTTTAGCCAATGTGCGAGCTATGGCTTCGCAAGGTAATGCGCCTCAATCCCAGCCACCAGATTTTCAAAAATCAAACGGCTCATCGTGAAGGTAAAAAGGGAAAGTTAAAATGAAGTAGGTTTAGCAAATTAAAGCAATCTGATATTTACATATTTTAATAGACTGAGTTGCGATGCCTTACATTACAGTAATTTGCACTAAGCAGCGTAACTTTATGCATTCCCTTAAAATATTAGAACGTTCTTTGCTGTTTTAATCAAGTTTATTCTTGTTATTTACTATGAGACATTAGAGCATAAATTTTGATTTGGGACCAAATTCAAAAAGTCCCCCATCATATTTGCAGAAGTATAGGTCATGCCAGCACTGTAGTAAGTTCATTATTTCCATTTAAAAATGTTGAGAACAATGATATTGAGGCTATAAACGTTGGTTGCTTAACTATCGGTCTTGGTAAATGTCCACTTGGCCACTGTGTAGCGTCCCGAGACTTCCGTGAAGACAAAGGAAGACACAGTACTCGGGCAGAATATGTGTGTTCGGCCCAGGGAAGGTGTCTGGGCTACTGGCATGGTCCGAAGGCCAGCCCACCCAGCGAGGTACAAGAGGGCTAATTCAAAAGTCCAAAAGTGGCGCCTCATTAATACCGAGAGATAAACCACCATCGTATTACAATTATATACTTCCGGATGGGCAGGCCTCCGGGCCATGCCAGTAGCCCTAATGCCTTCTGTATGTTGAATATATGGGCAAATATATGAATTCTGCCCGAGAATTACGTATTTTATCGTCTTCATGGAAGACTTGGGGTGCTACGTTAGCAACCCATGACCTTTGTTTTCACTCGACGAATCAGTAACGCGGTAATTGGGACGCCGCCAGCCCACTTTCGCTAGGCGGTTAAGCCTATGGGAAGCGCTAAAAGACTGTCAAAACGTCTTTAGGTTAGCGATTTGGAAAGTCAATGGTAGCCGTACTGCAGCAGGTTTTTAAATGAAGTCACTACTGTTATTCTTTATTCTTAAGAATTCCACAGCATTATGCATCGTCGAAACAAATAATTCCACCACTATGGTTCTTGAAACTTTTCATCATGACTGTGAAAAGAAATTCTAAAAAAAACAGCAAAAATCGAAACAATACTAAGTAAAACGCAAGCAAATGCGCAATTCAGTTCAAACTTCCTAACGGTTTAGTGATTTTTCACAATCCTTTACGTTTGTACCGGACATTCTAAACTGTTGATTGAAAATTTTTAGATATTTTCCGAAAATTCTGCTGATAGTCAGCGTTCAAAAATGCTATAGGATTGTGAATGGTGAAAAATTTTTGTAGTTTGCAGAGTGGTTTTGCAGATGTGTTCTACCTAACTTGATGCTCATAGATGTTTAACTAATTTGCAATATTCTATAGCAGTATGTGGTAGTAAGAAAACACCACCATTCACTGCTTTATCACCAACTTCGTCAAAAGACAGCAAACATAGGGAAATTTGTAATCTGTAGCTAATGCGGCGCATTGCATGCTAAACAGGTGGTGTTCGCCTGTAGAGACCAATGTCAAGATCTCCTAAAACATACGCAAATATCTCCATTAGGCATACTTTTATTTCCCAAATCCTTCTTTTTTTTGATCTCACTGTTCAAAAGCTTAGATGTGCGCCATTTAAAAAGACGTGTGAACAACTAGAAAAACACCTGACACCTTTGTTTAAGCCAACAAGAAGCAAAAATAAGGTCACTCGTCTGGCTACCCGCCTTTACAAAAAATGGGTGGTGACCTGGGTAGGTACGAGCTTCGCAGGGACCGGAATTCAGACCGGTGGGGATTCAAGATCACGACATGTGGCAATTTAACCTATATAACAGGCGTTTACGAAAACACACCAGCTGCAAGGGCTGGCGTAGGGCTTAATACCATAATGGTAAAAATTAATGGCATCCCATGCGGTAAGATTTCTACGTGCTCCTCTTTGTTTTTAACCAATAAATTGCTTTTGAATTACCTTTCTATATCTTTACTATTTCTTTGCATCTTAGAATACGTTTTTCGGTCATATTTTTTTCATTGCATAGTCGTTAACACCATTTCAATGAAAACCTGCACATTGTTTCTAGAAAACGTTTCACATGATCAAATTTGCCAAGCAATCCAAAAGGCAGATCGCTACATGACCTTGGTAACTCGCAGGCCGTGTAGCGACGACGTAGGCAAGGTCAATGAAAATACCAGACACAGTGCGTTTCCGTTCTTTATTATGACATTTCTTCCCAACCACACATCAAATATGTAGCTACTTTTTAGGGCGCACTAATAGTCGTTGCACGTTTTTTGGCCACCCTAAATTGTGGCTTGAAATTGTATCCATTCCTTTCTTATTTTATTTATTTGTAAAATTTTTATTCGCACACTGGCTGTGTATCACTCATGGAATCGAAGTTATTGACTATTTTAAGGTCCACGTCACTCCTTTTTACAGTTGATAATTAGAGACACCTGGCGGTCATATGTATGACAATGTTACAAACTTTTATTTAGTGGCTTTAAAGGCGTCTAACACCGCTGGTGACCATGAAGATATGGTATGTTATATATTTCGCCTTTATTAAAAGATTTCTAGTTCTCTCATTCCACACTGGCCTTTCGAAATTTTTAAATGCAAATGCCACCTTGCTTTAAGACATGTCTGGTTACCTTTTTTCGAGGTGCACTTTAACACAAGTATTTGGTAGTATAAGAAGTAGTGCAACCCTTAAATGCTCCTAGATAGCTGTCGAAAAGAAAAATTCCCATATGTCTACGATGTGGTGAATTTATTAATGGCGTTTCAACATTTTAGTACCATCAGTAAGGTTTTTTAACTTGTTTTTTTTCTTCAAAGCATATTCTTTAAAGAATCGCAAACATATCGCCGAGATTTTTGACGCTACCGACAAGCTGTAGTGCTCTCATCAAATTTATAGGTCCTATAAGACGCAAGGAGCTCAACGCCTCTCATATGCTTTTTAATAAAACACGAGCCTGAAAACTTTTGCGGTGCTGCATTATTAAATTGCCATCGTCTTGTCTTTATACTGCAAGCAACTGGTCACCTATCACTTGTCAAGGAACGAACAAAGTGTAGTTATGATTCATCATCGGCACATCTTTGTCAACGAGGGCCTGAGAGCTCACGCACTCAAGTATCACTGCTCCGGTTTTGAGTTTTATTTTTATGCACCTATCATTCCCACGATATTGCGGAATTCGTTGTAGAACATGAGAAGCCTTTTCTGCTTGTGGAATTGTGGACGAAGCATAGTTTTTTACACCAATACCCTTCATTGGTTGAGTTGTTTCCTTCTCAGCGAACTTGGAACACACAAATTCACACACACACACACAAACGCAGATATGATCAAGCGCCTCTCTGTAGCTCGCTTACATCTAGTTGCGCTTGGTAGGATGCGCTGTTAGATGTGGAGAGATTGCTCTAATTAGGAAACACCTATCACATTGCCGTTCTGAAGAAGGGTTTTAGAGCGAGAGCAACAGCTTAAGGTCTTTGAGGGATATCTCGATTGAAGATGGGGAACATTATTTGATTAATGAGTTCCACATATTCTCAATTCCATAACTCACAGCATCCGAAAAAAATCTATATGTTAACCTTATTATCTAGTAAATTATTTTGCGTTTGTTTGGAAATTTTTCTCTAATGCGGCTGCAAAGTTGAATACTAGATCCGAGGACGAATTTACATCCGCTCATCTAGGTGAACGTTCTAGGAGTTCATGAAATGTAAGCTTCAACTCGAAAATCGCCCTAGCTTATCATCAGTAAGGCAGATACTATAAGTTTCTATTAGTCTTAGGTCTGTTTTATTGTCAAGATGTAACTAAAAAGCATATTGGTGAGCATCCTTTATATGCAGTCCTCGCTTACAACGAATTTCCGCCACGTCGCACGGTATCGCACCATAGTACCGAAACACCAGGTTAGGTACAAATAAAGTAACTAAAATGCCCATAAATCAGTTCTTCATTGTCTTTTCTTATTGAAAAAATCCGTCTTAAATTCTTGGATTAAACAAAGCAGGAAGGTTATAGGAATTCAACGTTTCAAGTGCCAAATGTCCTAAATCTTTGATGTAAGCATCCTTTTGTTCTACTGCCGGCAGATGTTTAGATGCTTTCATCACAGGGGAAATTACTAACCCACAAATACGTCACTCCGCCAGACTCAAGATTGCACGGTGCTCTATGCCGTGGTCACGGAAGTGTAGGAGACATCAACAAGCCGTTTAAAGTTGTTAGAGCTCCAATTTAAAGTTGCCTGCTGCAGAAGGCATGGTGATACATGGTCAGGCCCCGATTTGTTTCCTCCTAGGTGACCATCCGACTATGGGGTCAACAACCTCCTGCTAGTTGAAACAGGTTTAAAAAAGCAGAAAACACTCATTACAAGTGGCTTCAACATGTGTAAGGACTACAAAGTGAACTCTTTCCTCTTTTTAGCCAAAAAGCACAAAAGAAATAGAAAATAAGCAACGCTTGAAATTCAAAAAGCATTCGGAGAACGATCACCCATCCCAACCAAAGGAAAGGGAAGAAGTTAAGGAAAAAACTTCAAGCAAACATCATTCTGAATCAGTGATGCCTCTTCACGAAACTAATATGGATGAAAGTAGGAATAATGAGAAAAAGAAAAGGACGCCCCAAGACCAAAGGAGGCGTCGAAGCTCTTCAGACGTCAAGGGGTCCGCGAATCGTCCAACTAGTGGAGTGGTGGAGAATGAAACGACCAGAAATGTACATAGAAGTGAAGACGTCCATCGGGCTGAGTCCTCGTTACCTAAAAAGAAGTCGAAACACTTACAAAAGTCCAAGTCGGAAGGTGACGTGGTTGTGGTGAAAACTTACCGAAGCAGTACAGTGACTCAAAAGAAGGGGGAGGAGGGGGAGGCGAAAGTCGAAAATCCAGAACCTTCATTTCCTTCAGTGTATGAACTCCAAACAAGTCTGCCCGCAGGAAAGCGGAGAACTCTGCTGCTCAGCAATGGTAAGTCTTTGGAGGATCGAATCGCAAGCTTGAACGACTTGTAAAGAATCAACCGAACATGGACTGAAGATTATGTCTGTATTCTTTTAGTTTTAAAATACCCCCAACAATTGCTTCAAATCGGCTTCCTGTTCCAAGTGACTAATTTTCATCCCATTAACGAGAATGTTTGCCTCTTAGTTAACTAAGACAGTTCAAAAGAGAAGGATGTCAATTAATGAAAGAGTAACAGCAGAATGAGGTAAATAACTATCTCTAGGGCAATCAGACAGGTCTAGTAAGTGGTGATCAAACGATTACTAAGGTAATTGCAATTATTTGTAGCATTTATTAGGATAGAACAAAGAAATACATCGCCCGCTTATGAAATGAGAGAAGAAAGCCGAGACTTTGGAAAAAATACCAACAGATAAATTGTTGGATGAGTTTTGCGGTTTCACATAGGCGAAAGGTTGGGAAGGCCAAGACGTATTAACAGGCAATTTCACGGGAAATGTCTAACATATTTGATTCTCTTTCAACTAATTGTGCTGATTAGTCAGAGCAAAATCACACCCGATTGTTTTTTCATCCATTCCCCATTGCCTTCATTTGTGCGCCGGTGCCAAAAAAACTACGCAAAATCTAAGCTTGCAGGTTCCCAGTAAAGCGTCTCGGCTTTGGTCTGCTTTAAGGTCTTGCACTGCCCTCAATCGCTGCATAGCTTAAGAGTTCGTTATTGTGCGCATTTTTTGTGATTAAACACCGTTGACACATTTACAGACAGGTAGGCATTACAGATTGCGTGGTCGTGACCTTGGCCGCTTTGATGACCGCGCCGGAGTTGGAGGACAGCGAACATTAAAATGGCAGGTCCTGTTCCACTTAATTCTGAATTAAATCCGTAACGTTGGAAGTGTGTGGTGGAACTCGACATCCTTATCTTTCAAATAGAGCACAGCCAATTAGTTGCAGCGGACTTATTTAGCTGAAGGACTTGTCACGCCCGTTAACATCCACTGATTCACTTACTTATACTAATAAGATTTTAGCACCAAAGTCATTTTGCCTTTAGAGTTTTAACAACACCCTCCACAAGTGCAGATGAAACTTTAGTTAACTCGCCAAAATACGTGCCATCTAAACGGCACTGTTTGCATTATTCCTCTGAATGCCTTTTTTTTCATGAGATGTATAACTAAACACTCGATGGAAAACAGTCAGACAGCGCTGATGTAATAGTGTAAGCACTGCCTTTGAGGGCACCAGATTTCTTATGTAATGTGCTGGATATTTAACTCTCGGCTTTGGTGACGGGCCACATAGGGCTTTGCTACTGTACCTTTTCCGAAGACCTGACCTTTGGAGCATGTCATTAGCCCCAAGCTCCAAAAGACGTCAATCAAATAAACATGCAACACCTCCCCACTTCTCCACTGGCTGAGGAGAGCCCAGATAGGTGCTGGCTGGGGTGTACTTAAGTGAGAAGAAACTAGAAAGGAGGATTAAACGCGAAATCCTATATCACACATTTGTTACAGGACTCGGCTTTTAGGCCAGTGTTCTCACGCATGTCATGCGTGATGGCCAGCACGTAGCCCATTTTTCCAATACAGTACCTATGCAGGACAAAGCTCCAGATAACAAGGAGTCGCCAAACGGAACTTGTGACTTTGGGATCAAGAATCTGTTCAGCAGCATGAAGAATCAATTAATGGTGCATTGTATTGTTGGATTTTTGACTACACAATCTTAAAACACATAAACAGCAGAAGTTGAAAATTCACCTTCCAGCATTGCGAAGGCAGAGGTAGTGGAGGTCAACCCTGAACCTATTACGTATTGGCAAAAGTAAGTTTTCACCGATTTCACTTTTTATAGGGTAATGTTGTTAGTTAAAGTTGCTACCGGGGACAAAAGAAGAGGACGTTTCGAAAATCAAATGAACGAAATCGTACATAAGTCAGTTAAGTATTTAATTAACTCTTGTTTCTACGCAAAAGATTAGGCGTATTAACAAAAATAGCCTATTTGCTGTTTCAACTAATTTATAGGGCTATGTTTAGAAAACGAAAAGTTATTTGCAAATGTCACTAAAGCAACTTGATATATTGTAAATTAGTCTTGATGTGTTCTAACAAAACAGTTTACCTAAATTATATAATTATTGGCTTTTAATATTATATTTCTCGACATTAAGGCAGATATTCATGGTCACGCCGACTTTTGTTTATTCCTATAAATCAATGCTCGATTAAACAACCGAAGGCGAGTTCACTTTTTGAGATGCCGTTGTTTCTGGTTGCGGCGGTTGTGCTCGGGTTCCTCGACATCGGGCAAGCAGATAGGATTTCTCTGGTCGCTTTACCTTCCCGATTTCCTCAGAACGGGTCGCGTCTGCACCTCATCTGCCAGCATCACTACGAAAGCAGATTTAACATTGTCTGGAAAAGAAATGGCTCGGATGTTGGAGAAAAGTGCCTGAGTTATAGACAAATAAAGACCCCAATACAATGTTTCGAGAATGAAACAAGTGTTGAATGGATATTGAATCCCGTGACGTATGCGACTCGTGGTATATGGTCATGCTCCCATGGGAGTCAAACGGCGTCTGTGGATATTGTCGTAAATGGTAATATATTTATTAATGAATGTTCGTCCATTTATTGAATGCACACTTGAGGCCTAGGACGCTTATACAGTCCCAGTATTGGCTTTTTGTTTGTTTGTTTTGCAGTCCCTCAAATTTTGAGCCCTCCTTTCATTGAACTTCCCGTTGTAAGCGCTATGCAGTCAGCCTCAAGCTCAACTTCCGAATCAAAATCCGGCGGCGAATTTGAGCTGGGTACAGGATCACGCTCTGATCCATTAGACCTAATTCGTGGCCGATCTCGTGGCATAAAAGGCTTTGTTTTTGAATGTTCCTCCCGATGTGCTTCTGAAACTCGGCATCTAATGTGGAGTTTCGTTAACAGCGTAAGCACTTCTCCATCCCTTTTGATGGATAGCATTTTTAACCAAAATTCGGCCTAGGCGAGTTTTGTTGTACAAAAGATAGATTTGGGCTTTTTAATTTACTTTTCGTTCACGACAGCTCGTATTAAGCACGCTAGCATTATTCTTAGTAGATTTTCTATAGTTTAACAATGTATGGCTTTGGGTTAGCCAATAGATTTTTGTTCGCCATTTGAATCTCTGGACATGTCTGATAATTAGTTTGATGACCTTATATTTTCCACCGCTTTGCAGTATATGATACTTGGTTTCGTACTTCTCCCAGTACCTTTTCATTATTTGTGGGGAAGTTTAATAATTATCGCTGCTTTATATTACTTTGTAGACACTGCCTAGGAAGCATCCCTCATCTAAAGTGACTCACGTAGAGACTCGCCATTGCCCTGAGGGGTTAAGCTCAGCCAAGAGTCGAGCGTTAATAACCTGTACTTATGATTCAAATGGACAGTCACAACCTCTGAATTGGGAACCCGAGTTCTCGGTACCTGTTGATCTGAGACTATCGCTGATTGGTCTGAATATTGTTTACTGTTCAACGGACCAACCGGATCGTGTACCCAGTACTGGCAGATATTGGTGCTCGGATAACTTCTATAATGGCAACTCTACAGCTGCATGCACCTATGTGCTCTGTGATGGTAGGTTATTGTTTATCGCCCTCTTTGATCGTAGTTACGCTGTGCTGCGTAATCACTGGGGTTTCCGAATTGTTTACGATCATCTGTAGCCTTATTTATGGGCTCTGAGTCAGCAGGAAGGATTGGTCTGTAACTGCCTCCACTGCACGATGCCTTTTGCACTGCATTAACCCCTTTTGTAACCCTCTGATGGTATTGCTCCTGCGCTGATATCTGTGAAATCATTTAGACCTAAGGGGACTCTTCAAGCATGGACACGTCATTTGTTCCAGAAGTCAATTGATACCATGTGCAACAGCTAATTAAAGATTCAGATGTTGCCGTAGCGCCATCATTAAAAGTGTTTGACGGTTGCCTGGATTTCGTGGTTGCAAAGGCTGTTAAAAAGCCGGTTTGCCGTACAATTTGATGGACATTGTTTGTGGGTTGTAAAATCTAGTGTAGTGGTGTCACTTTAAGACGGTTCCAGCCCATTAAATAATTTAATGCGCACTTATTTGATCAAATTCCATCACTTCTGTATGACTTGCCTTAAAAATCCGCATTTCAGTCGGGAAGGCTCAAATTGAGGCTCCGGAGTGAGTATTGTGCCAATGACAGCGGTTTTACTGACCGATGTGCCTGGGCTGCATAAAGAAGCACACCCTACAAGCACGGAGGTTGTTTTGATGAAAGCGGGTGCGATGATAAAGTGAATCAGGCCATCCATTGTCCTCGTAAGCAAGCGTGTTTAAACCCGTCTCGACTGGAGTGTGCGTCATGCACAGCTGGAAAATACGCCAATTTTGCTCCCGCTGGGTGCCTCTCCACCTTCTCGTTCCTTTTCTTCCCCCTCCATGCTTGCATCCTCTACCACCTCACATGATCCGCGCGTCCTGTCATTTCTCCAACACTGGCCCGTAGCCACCCCTCCCCGCCGCTCCTCTCCCCTCATCGGTATGCGCATGCGTGCCGGCGGCATAGAAGCCGTAGTAACACGTACCTTTAACCTCATGAAGACGCGTTCTGGACGCCCCTTGAGTTCGTGTTCTGTTTCAGGCTTTCAACAGCCTGTCCATCCAAGAGAGCCGCTTAATCGTTCATAGGCCAACTTTCAACCTGAAACGAAAGTGTTTTACGTCTGATGTGGTGATTATTAGCGTCCGAATTCGACCATTTTAGAAGGTTGTCGAGTCCGTTCGGAGTCCTGTTCTTCTTCCGCCTGTCTTCGTCCAATTGGACTACGTATCCATCCAAGGAAACTTTGAAGAGGAGGTTTTTGGTTTATTGTTCCATTCGTTAACGGTCACACCTTCGACAGACATTCGGCTATGGGTCTCCTCAGGTTCAGCGCTTCTGAGTGCGTGTCTAGATGTCGCATTCATTCATCCACTCAACATCTACGCCCTCAACAGGAGTCTTCAGTGCACCTGAGCCAGGATTGTAGCTTGATTATGATTGCACGAAAGATCTGAAGTGCTACTGAGGCAAAGATAGTGATCAAAATCGTGGGATTTGTAGAACCCGTTGTTTCGTTGCCATAGTATCAATGCACAAGTCACATCCGTTCACTTGATTCTCTTTTACAGGGCCACAACCTCCCATATTGACGAGTGGAGAGCAGATAGCAATCCAGATAGCAGCCTTCCTCCTAATATGCATTACTGTCGCTGTCTGCGTTTTCACCTGGCGAAGTTTTCGCTCCGAGAAGGCTGGTTGCATGAATCCCTACAACGGAATCGTCCCCTCGCATCAACAAGAGGCTCAAATGGAGATCGTGCTCTAGTCAATACTCTTGTTTCATTTTATCGTGTAAATATGCCTTCTCCACTCCTTTCTCATGTTTCATCTCACCTCGATACGTCTTTTTTAACCTCACCCCCAACCGCATTAAGTCATGACGGGAGGTGGCAGAGCAGTTTACCTCCGGGAATCACGTCACGACTCGCGTGAATTGCCATGGGTCGAGGAGTAAAAATTGCCACTCTCTGATTGTGTCTGCTTTGGTGGTCAGAAAGCACAAACCACTCACTGGGATGCCGATCTACCTACCAGGGCTCTCGTACTAAGCAGTTTCTCTAGGCAACGCGCTTCTAAAATCTTATGGCTTTGGAGTGGTGGGGTGTGGTGTGAACTGCTACTGGCGCATGGTGATTCGCGTTTTAACCTGTTCTTCACCCTGTCAATTTTGTGCTTGAAGCATCACGAAATACGAAGGTGGTGTGTTCACACCCCAAAAAAGCCGCCAGATTTGCTCTGTGTGGGTTTGACCCCTTGAGGCTTCTTCTGAAGCTGTACTGTAACGTACTGATAGGAAAGGGAGGAAGTTTAGCATGCTCGTATAGAAGAACCGGGTGTGGGGGTGGGGTGCTATTTGTTTCGTAGTCAGTAGCGGTGGGACACTCTAGGATTGCCTTCTGGTAGTTGGGAGAGTTCCATCCGAAGGTGCTCTCCGAAGATAGTCGAGGTTTAGCAAGGGGTTGTTTGTTATGTGGGAAGAACAGCCCTGAAACGGGTCGGAGAAGAAAGTGCCTTGTTCTCGGATCCTGGTACAAGTCGCTATCACAGCAGGTTGGTGGGCGCTCCTTCAAGAGATGGTTCTACTAACCCTTGTGGAAAGTTCGGAATTCCGGTCTTCGTTGTCATTCCTCCCAGTCAAAGGAATCGGAGTTTTGTTCCCCCGCTGGCGTCCTACCATGAATCAATTTCAAAGACGGAGCGAAGCGTACCAGAATGTAATAACACTTTTTATCGGAGCGCAGAAAGGCTTGGAAGCTGTAGACCAGAATGGGATGTCCTGGAGTCAGTGTAGCTACCGGGAACACGGAGGCCGTGTAGTTCTCTGTTTTCTGTTGCTTTTATTTGGTCACGTAGGTCCAGGTGCCGACGGGTAAGGCACACTATCAAAACACGACCGTGATTAGGCGGCAAATCTATATTTGCGACTCCTAGATACTTTCTCACAGTCGTTTCGTTATCCTTGAAAGGTTTGATGTTACAGGATCTCTTATGATACATTTCGATTCCCCTCCTCCACCAGGGCTGAATTCCGAAGGGATGTGAATCAAGAAACATGAACTTCCCAATTGTGACTGGGACAGCAGCACAACCGTCCTCCTTTGTGTTCACGACCAAAAACCAAAGTGAAATCTAGTACTTATGCAACTTTGAAATTGTCACCAAGATAGACAACCCACTATGATTTTGGAGTCAGGGGAGTCCACCAGTTCCACCGGATGCAAAGACTATCTCCAAATTGATGCCACGGCTACTTGAACAGCTTCTCTATCTAATTTAGTACATGACTGTTCAGTAGGACGAATTGGAACCTCGGGAGTCGTAATACGACGCCCCGATAGGGAAGGAAGTTTATGCCATTCATAGAGAAGAGCTGGATGTAAAGACGAAATGCTACTTATCCCGTTGCTAGTAGCTACAGTACTTGCAAATGCAGCGTTCAATGGTGGTCGAGATAGACTGAGGAGAGGCTCTTTTAAAAGTGACTTCCAAAACAGGACGATGCTTTACAGTTTGTAGCCATAGGAAGAGTAGCCTCGAAACAGGTCGAAGAATACGGCAGCGTGGTACGAGATGATGTCACGGAAGGATCGTAGACAGGGCTGGGGATTTGAAAAGTTTCCGAAATTAAAGCGGCTATGATGGCCATACCTCCTGGTGCGTTAAGGTGTGGCACTCAGTTGTCGGAATTAAGGCTTTCGTCCCCTTGAAGCGGGCTCACTTAGCCTCATCGTCAATACATCGTCGCAACACACTTTCGAAGACGCAATTGCGTGTTGCACAGCTGGAAGCACACTTCTCACTAGTGCACAAAAGAGTTTGGAGGCCATAGACCCAAGCAGGACATTCTGAAATCAGTATGATAACTAAAAAATCAGAACTTGTGTAATTTTCTGTTTTTTGAAGCTTCCAGTTGATCTCGTCGCTCCAGCTGCCGACGGATAAGGCACGCTTCACCATCCATGACCGTCATCAAGTAGCAGTCCTTTACCTACGACCATCAGCTACTTCCTCATTTACTAACGTTTCGTTAGCCATAAGGTGTTCAATGGCGTAGGATTCCTCCTGACAGTCTTCGATCTCCCTCATCCATCAGGACTAAATTGCAAACGGACACGAACCGAAAAACACCAAAATTGCAAATCACGATGGGGATAGCAGCACAACCACCCTCCCCTATGTCCACAACCAAAAGACTATTTTTAGCATAGATATCTATAAAAGTGGAATCTAGTACTATTGCATCGTCGGAAATAAAATTAAAAGAAAAGGACGAACCCGCTAAGATGTTTGAGTCAAGGGAGTCCACTGATTACCCCAAATACGAGGACCGTTTTCAGGCTGATAACTAATATTCAAACAGCTCCCCCACCTGATTTGCTATTTGGCTGTCTAGTAGGACTGGACCTAGGCTTAGCAACTCGAGGCTTCCTCTGAAGCCGTAATAGGAAATTTACTACCCTCGTACGGAGAATGACCGAATGCGATCGGATGCTAGAGTTTGTTGGTAGTAATAATAGAACTAACAAAAACCACGTTCTGTGTTGGTCGGAGTTGGTCAAGGCGAGCCTCACCTGAAAGTGTTTCCCAACCCCCTAAACAGCTCGGAGGATAAGGCACCCCGTCCTCGGATCATGACAAAGGTGGCTGTAACAGGAAGGGCCATAACCCGCCCCTCGAAAGATGGTCTTAAGCCAATCAAACCAGTTAGCGTTTTGTTACCCGCTGTTGTGGAAAGCTCGGGGCCTCAATTAGATACAGGATCCACCTGGATCGTAACCACTTACTGTTGCTACCAAGATATCGCTGTGAATCACTTTTGAAGATGAGCCGAGCCATCCTTACTGGTTCACAGAACGACGTGGAAGCTATAGACTTGAAGCCAGCATGATGATCAAAAGCACGGAGCCTGCGTCGTTCCCCGTTTCTTAATTACGTTGGTCTAGTTGCAGACGAATATGGAGTGCTCATGAAATGTTTCCACACTTGCCAACACTTCATTATTTATGAGATGTTCGATGTTGCAAGATCTCTCAAAGCAGGCCCCGTTCCCTCTCACCCACCTGGGCTGAATTTCGAAGGGATGGGGGTCAAGAAAAATCGAACTTCCCGATCGCGACGAAGATGGCAGAGTAACAACTCTTCTTGGTGTCCACAACCGAAAGCTCTCGATTTCCAACAGAGGCATCTACCAAAGCGGATTCCAGTACTTATGCAACTTTGAAAATGTCACCAAGATGTTCGAGTCAAGGGAGTCCACTGATTCCGCCAGATACAAAGACTCTTCAAACTGGTGCCACCCCTACTTGAGCAGTTCCTTCGTCTGATGTGCTACTTAACTGTTAAGTAGGACTTTACGTGAAACGCCAGCGCAAATTTTGTGACAAGCTCCACGCCACCAAATCCCCACCCCCAAGCAAGTGCAGACAAGACAATGCTGTGATTGAACATCTGCAAATGGTAAAAGCACCGCTCTGTTAAAATCAACGTGACAACTTCATAAGGGGTGGGAAGGGGAGGAGAAGGGGCAAGTGGGAATGAAGAGACGCAAGACGTCGACAATGAATGCATGCGCACTTAAAGCGAAGCCATTCACCTCCCTCCACCTCTTCCCAATCTTCCCTCCTCGCATCCAACTTAGGCTCCTTTCCCTCGGAAGTGAGGGATGGTTGAGAAGAGGGCAGAGATAAGCACACGTAAAAGTAATGGTGACAGTTTCAGTGGCAGCGGTAAGGAAATAACAATAATAATTCCTTTTTTGATTAGGTTGAAAACCGAAAGATTGGGGGTGATGGGCGTTGGTGAAATCAGGTAGAGTGGAACAGTGATGATGGCGATGACGAGAGGACGTGTGCGTGCATTGGAAGGACCTTAGCTTCTAGAAGTCCAAAAGAGGCGGCAGCATAAACACGTCAGCAGATGATCTCCAATCAAAAAGGCAGATATACAAGCAAAATAAAATAACCTACGGTCGGGGAGGTATAGGTGGACCGGATGGTGTCGATGCGCGGTTTCTAAGCGAAGGAGGAGGAAGAGGAGAGAAAAGAGGTGACTGCAGGCGTCACTCACTACACCAAACAGGATAATTACGTGGTAGCACATTTGAATAGAGACGACGACCCATGCTACTGAACTGCACACCGATAAAACGAGCAAGCAAAGCTGGCTGGGAGCACAAACAACAGGGAGGGGGACAGTATTAGAAAACACGACCCACAGAAGACTTTATACCATCTCTACCTAATTGGTGGTTAGGTTTGTAATCTAGGTGTGCAGGTGAAAAGTCTGGGCTGCTGCTGTTGCTAGTCAAAACAGCCATTTCGGTCCCTATCTGGAGGCCTCCATCATTCATTCGAATCAAACGAGGGCATGTGATGCAAACCCTGGGGTTGTGTTGGTCTAAACAACGGCAAACAAATCATAGGTAAGATTACACCACTTTTTCTCGGCCCATAAAGTGTGAAGCCCTCTTCCGAGGTCACTTGCTATTCACATGTCACCTCAACCAGGTTTGAGACTGCCATGGCTACACTCAAGGGGGCTACACACGATGACCGACTGGCAAACAAGAAGTGGATTACATATATAGCAGAGTGGAAGGCGATGTGCCTCGCAATTCCGCTCGCTTACTCGAATATGGATGCAAGAGTTCGTGCAGAGTAACCACCGGTAGTAGTAGGAGCCCCGCTGTTGCCGTGGGGAGCCGACGTGGCATTAGTCGAAGATGAGGAGATGGAGTCGAACACCTTGAGTCCGGGATTATTGCTATGCCAAGAGGAGGAGGAGGAGGTAGTGTTGGCAAATGGGGAGGCCTTACTGTTAGCGATGGGGGCGGCATAGAGGTCACCAGCGGAATTACTTGAGTGAATCGCCGAGATGGGCTGTGGGATTAGGGGGACTGAGCGACTGCGGTGCAAGGTGCGGGGGTGAGAAAAGCAGATGTCAGGTGAGATAAGGTGGTCACACAATCAAATAGAGAGGAAAAAAGCGTTACAAGTTTATTGACCACTTGGTAAAACTACCCAAGTACAACAAGTGTGAATAAAATCCTTCGTTGCGAAGGCAAGGCAATAGGGGGAACGAGAAATGGTGTAAAATCAAGCAATCTGGAGATTGACGAACACAAAATGAGTAGAAAAACACCAGGATTGTGCCAGAGGGACAAGGGAGGAAAGTCTCTATATACCTGTCATTAAGCTCCACAGACCTAGTATGGTGGTTAAAATGCTAGGTCAGGTTAAAAGCAAACAAGTTAGATCCGAACTTGTAATTTCATCACGTCGCTTAAGCTTACGATGGGCCCCGAAAAGACGTGAAATACCTATCACAGACGATGAAATACAGTTTAGTTTCCTGGGGCGTCAGACCAAATACCGATTTGAGAGGTGAGTCCACCTTGAACTAGTCTAGGGTTTACTTTCAGGTCAGTATGACGCACTTCATCCCTCTAAAGGTCACAATATTCAGGGTTTTCAACCACAGGCTGCAGCATACACCACCACTGACGATGTAAGCAACACTTCCCACGGTTCGAATTCGACATATCGCCCCACTTCTTACTGCACCGTTGATTACAAGTTGCCGAAGAAGTGGTGACGACTAAAGATCCACGCTTACCGATCCCAGCCCTTCCCGTAGGTTAGTGATCCAGCCTTTCTATATTGCTATGCCTCATTAGGTCTTCGAAACACTACAACAAAGTCCATTGAACTGTCACAAAGAATCACCGTTATCAGTGCAATGGTGGTAGTTGCAAATGTGAGTGTGTGAGCAAACACGAAGGAATGGGTGAACTAAATGAACGGTAGGAGGATGATCTCAGCTTACGCGGGCACCACAGGCGCCTGTGGAGTGGATCCAGAGGAGTTCAAGGGTCGAGAGGAAGGCGGAACAGGTGCGTTACGGGGCTGTGGCGGCATGTAGCCTCCTCCTCCTCCACCGCCGCCTCCCATCGGAAGTGGTGAGGGACTACCTCGCTGCGGCCCGATTGAAGGCCGAGAGGGCCCCGTGCCTGCTCGCGGTGGCGTCCCGTTACCCCCAATTTCCTGAATACGAAGATAAGCGCGGTGTTTGGATTGTTAGTAAACCCAAGTCATGCGGAGGTCATATTTTCAGGTTCACGAGTTTAGAATAGGTGAGCATACCGATTCACGCCAGTCGTCTGTGATTGGTGGAGGTATGGGCGTGGTGACGGTGTGAGTGGTCACATCGGCGATGATGTTTAGTGCCTCCTTCATGGTGTTATACATCACCACCATATCCTGCTTTCGTCGCTTCTCCTCCTGTGACTCCTCCATCAAACGGTTCTAGGCAGGGAAAAAACATAACTGACACTAAATTAGGCAAAGAACTTGGAACCACCCTTACATCCACACACAATGTATAGGTGGCGTTTAAGTCAAAGCGAGACTTCTGGAGCATTCAAAATACAACAGATTTCAGGGAGTGGAAAGACTTCTCGATATGACTGAATTATCTCAGAGGATAAATCCGTACACTATTTCGTGGAAAATAATGTACCCACGTTTCGTGACATGTAGTAAGCCGATCCGGAAAATCTAGAACTCCAGTCGTTAAACACCCCTCTCTCCTATGCTAGTCAGGGGCAAATTTTTGTGGCACCGAAATTGCAAAGGTCCATAAATGACTCAGTTCATCGTTCCTTCAGAAATACCAGTTTCTTGTGCACCGTTGCATGCTAGAATGAATTATTGCTGTACAGTGGGATGAGTACCATCACAGCCTATCGTTGATAGATTACATACAGTTGGTTTATTGTCTTCTAGTGCAATTTTTACCCTTGTGTGGTAATTGAGCAACCCTTTCATTATTACAGCTTGTCAAGACGTTATAACCATCAAAAGAGAGACAACCTGACATCAGCTAAGGTATCACTACCTAATCGTATACCAACACCTCCGACTTTACCCATACCGTATCCAGAGTATAAAGAGCCGGAAGGAGGTCAGATTTCAGGAACTTCTTCACCTAAAAGAGATGTTCAAAACGAGGTCAAAGGCATTAGTCCCGCTGCCAACTAGCACGTAAGTACAACAAAAGTGACAACAAGGAGGCTCACATGAGCAGTTAAGTTCATCCATTGCCTTTTAACACACAAAACAATAGGCATGAATGCAAGTTTAGGGTAAAGCTCTACAAACACAAGTTAGTGAATACTACAACCCACGTCATCGATGAGGAGGTACATGGTGATCTTTGGTACCAGGTCAAGTTGGGTCTTGGTGACTATCTTCATGTAGGACTGAACCAAATTTCGAATGGTTTCAACCTGCCGCTTGAGAACTGGATTGCTGTCCTGGTTCAAGTCGTCATCCTGACAAGAGGAATAAAGAAAAACACAAAATCTTGTCATTAGGAACACAACGAGTTGGGGCATTTAGTGTTAAATTTTGCCCAATGAACTCCGAAACAACGAAATGCTCGCTTCTACCGCCATAGAAACATGCACGCCAAAACATCCGAGGGGAGGGGTGCAAAGCAGCCATAATAACCTAGATCAGATCGTGGCGCACAGCAACGTGAGAGGTGCATCACACCTACAGCGCTTACACCGCTTCCCCTTTCGGTAACCCTCGTGGCAAGTCGATGCAGCTCAATGGCTTGCGAAACAAACGCAATCCGTTTCGATCGACTCATCAGTTTCAACAATGGACAGCAGCCAACCTTAAATCAACATTACCTATCTACTTAATAATTGTCAGGTAGAGCAGACGGTACAGAATACACCGTGCATACCTTTTCCTCGTCGAGATTTTGTTCCGACTTCTCCGGAAAAACGCCCGCGCGTAGGAGGGCCCCCTTCCAGTTGTCGCGTGCATCTACATTATCCGCAGCCAGATCCAGAGTCTTGAACTCCTTGTATACATTCACCTTGGGATCGGAGTGGAAAAGACTGAAGTTCGGCCGCCGAGAGAAGAAGGACGTGTCACCGGCACGTTGCTTCAGACCCTCCAGCGGCAAGACAAACTTCTTTTCGCGTTCCTTTAGTGGTGAAGAACCAAACATGCATTTAGCTCATAGCTGAACAAATCACCGATAAGCCAAAGGAAGGAGCATTCACTCACTTCGTCATCCCGGTACCAAGTAAGAGATTCGGTGGTTAAAACGAACCAAAAGTACTTGCTACCTCCTCGCAGCAGCTTGCCATTCAAAAGTGTCAGCCAACCTTTGCAGATGATCTGAAAGGGAGCCAAGTGTCAGAGGGTACATACAACCACGCACGTGCCCACACACACGGATTCATTCAATTAATGGGTCAAACGTGCGCACATCAGTGTTGAAGTTGTTGGAGACGCCTGCAACCCCAGAAAAAAAGCTTCCACAAGTTCCCCTTTCTCGGACGTATTAGAAGCCATACAATTAGCGTTCTCGTTCACCTCCTTCTGATTGGTCAACATCACGTGGAGTCACAAGGTCAAGGTCAACCAAAGGATAAGATGAAGGATAATAGAAACACCTCCATGATTCGACCCTTCAGCCGGCGGACGCAAACACAGAGATCGTATTTCAGTGGTACACTAGTTGTTAGCCTTAAAGATCTCTGTTCTGAAATCCTAATCTCTTAGTTATTCTGGGAGGAAAGTCGATAGTGTTCGAAAACAACAGTTCGGAATGCAAGCCAATGGCACTGGAGCTTTGCCCACTTGTCGACACACGTGCGATGAAGCAGATAAGCTGGCCAAAGGCCACATACCCATAAACACCAAAGAGCAACATGTAAAGCGACGGATATATCCATGGACCAAGCACACGCAGGAATATTATTTACCGAGTTAAAAGAAATTGCATTGCGAGAGCACAAGCACGATAAATGCAGTTGGACTTGAAGTCGGAGTTGGAGAATGAAAAAGGCAACCGCGTCACATAGTAAAACGTTTCGTGCATCCAAATGAAACCATAACAAGTGAGGTCCGGATAAGTTGGCGATCAGAACGCAGAACTAGGTTATAAGCGCTAAAATGACCAAATAGTATTTCAAATCATTCAACTTGCTCCGTAAATAATAATCTAGTTAGGAATGAAGACAACTATCAAAAGCTTTGGAATGAGATGAATGAGGAGGGAGAACAGCGTCCAAGATGGAAAGTTAAGTCGGAGCAAATGCATTGAAATCCACTTAAGCCAGAACACCGGTAGTCATGCTATGCACCGTCAAATTACATGGTATCGCTATTAAAAGAGCAATAAAAAGGGGCTACGCCTTGGAAAGAAAACAATGGAATAAGCACACAAATCGCAGAAATTCAATCCTATAAGCAACCCGTAACGACGATCTGCATATTGTCAAAATCAAAAATTTGCTTTTAGCTCGAAGGCGTTGAACTTAGGTTCTAAACCATCAACTTAAAATCTACTTACCAACAACCAATCGACGGGTTAGGGAGGTTCTTAAGTGCCTAACGTGACGCAGTGGTTGAAGTGGTTGCGTAATTCATCATCACACAGCCCACGGTGCCAAAGGTGAGCGGTTTCTGGTGTCTCCTCTACGCCTTGGCTCTACAGTCACCACGACTCCAAATCCGCGAATTTCAATCGTCGATATAAGGGGCATAGCAAAATAGGGGGGTGGCGACAGGCTACACTCGCTTCACCAACCCTGTCATCACTCCAGCACCGACGTATCACCTCCACCCACAGTGACCGCTTCACAACCCGGCCCAATTCAACCCAACCAAACACACTCGTTAGCGGACAGACAGCACATCCACAAAGATGCGTGCGTCCTCAATGCAATTGGTCACCTTGTTCACTTTGGTTTGGCTGTTTAACCCCTAGCCCACGCAGATCTGCACAGACGCCAGCCAAAAGGGCGATACGGGAATGAGACAACTCAGCGCCCCAAACACAGAAGGGGGCGGTTCTCTAGTCCTCCACCACCCCTAAAATGAGGTAATCTCCACTGCGCTAAGAACCATAAATTACGAGTCGCAAAATCGCAGCAAGCATTCGAGAGATGCACAAACAGACGTGTGTAGACAGAGAGAAAGGTCAAGAGATAGGGCGAGAGAGAGAAAGGGCACATACAAAACGGTAACGAAAAGGGTGTGAAAAAGAAAGGAAGCAGGAAGCGGGCTCGCTAACCACTTTGACCCTGCGACAGCGGCGGTAGAGAAACTGCAGGAGAGCGAAGAACACACAACCTCAATGAGGGAACTACACCGCAAGTGATGACGCTACTTGAGATAGCCAAGTATTACGGAGGGAGAGTAAAAGTGTCACAAATGCAGACAACTCACTTGGTTGCCAACTTTCTGCTTTGCTGCCTGATTCGCACTCTGTGGGTCGGCGCTGAAAGAAATGAGAGTTGAGTAGGGGAGAAAGCGTTGGTTATCCATAAAGAAGTGAGGTAAAGCGATTCTTTCTTTCCATTGCATGTCTATTCACGTAGGCAAGCTACTTAGTAGTCGTGGTTATGGTCATCATCTTGGAGTCGAGTCATGACGTGCCCCCAATGCCTACAACTATCTCATCTTCCTGTACAGCAACAATAACCTTTTTTCTTCTTCTTCGTCGCCGTCGTCAGCATCTTCCCCCTCATACTAACGAGCATTACTGCGGCTTCATGGATGACTTGGGACACCACTTTTGTGGCACTGAATACTACCTGTGTAAAAGGTCACAAGTGGAGGGCATTT